AAAACCACGTAGAGGGTATCGACGTGTGGGTAGCCATACTTTTAAAATAACACATTCAGCTTGGCAGAATTAAATAACAAAATTCTTCTGTTGGTATACTTATATCAAGTTAGTTCTTTTGCGTATTCTAATAAATACGGGCGAATTCCTAAAAATATATAAGATTATATTATTGTCTCTCTTTAAAGCCATAATATATATATTTAGATTTTTTTTTCCTCCCATTTCTTTTGGTTTAGTCGCCTGACGGGTTTTTACCAGCCTATTTCTATTCCACTCCCTCCATAGAGTTTCCCAAAGTCGCATCATATCGCACACTCACACATTTATATTATGTTACACTCCAAATCAACATAAAGTGGAGCCGGGATGAAAAAGCAAATCCAAGAATCAAATACGGATAACGGGAGCTGAAAAAAAAAAAAAATTTATTTTCTGGGTAGATTAATTTTTCTTTGCTTTTAATTGGAAAATAATTTTTTTTTTTTAATGACTAGGCGGGTTCTACCTACCTTTCATAGATTTTCGCACAGGATTATATTAGTTGGAATTCTTAAGCGGATACCCAGAAGTAAATAACAAGCCCGAAGATGGGGAGAAGAAATACTGAAAATAGCAGACTTGTTTTTGTGTTCGAAGAAAAGAATCTTTTAGTGTTAGAAATTTGGCGGAAGTTTTTTGTACAAAAACTGAGGGGATTATTTACAGTTTTTTCATTGAGAAAAAAATTGTTTTTTATTTTTTTATTTTGTAAAAAATTATTTACAGTTTTTTCATTGAGAAAAAAATTGTTTTTTTTTATTTTTTTATTGAAAAAATATAATTTTAATTCAATGTTTTTAAAAAAAAAAAAAAAACAATTTTTTTAATTTTAATAATAATAAAAGAAAATTATTAATTGTAATTAGAAATTTTAGATTGTGAACAATAATTTTTTTTCAGAAAAAAAAACTAAAATTTTGCAATTAAAAATTTTTCTTTTAAAAAAAAACTCCAATTTAAAAAATAATTAATTGCAATAATAGATTTTAAATTTAAAAATAAAATTTTTTTTAATAAAAAAAAAAAAAAATGATTAATTGTAATAATAAATTTTAAATTTAATAATAAAGAATTAAAAAAAAAAAACTAAATTTTCGCAATTAAAAATTTTGTTTTTTAAACAAAAACTCCAATTTAAAAAATAAAAACAAATGATTAATTGTAATAATAACTCTTAAATTTAACAATAAAAAGTTGAAGAAAATATTTTTTTTTAATTAAAAAAAAAATTTTGCAATTAAAAATTTTTCTTTCTTAAAAAAAAAAAAACTATTTTAAAAAATAATAATTTTGGCATTCGAATTTTCTTTACAATAAAATATTCAACCTAAACTAAAAATCCAAGAAGTATCTTAGCAGATACCAGCAAAAGGGAAAAACAAGCCGGGGCTAGATGACGTAGCGTTGAGTATAAACCGTGCATCAGCCTGATGATCTAACAGCATGAAAACCTATAAAAAAAAAAAGAGAGACGGTAACTGGTGAGTTAAGATCGGGTGGGCCAGAAGAGCATAACAAGCTTGAGCATAATCCAAGCAAGAGTTTGAAGGGCAAATAGGGACGGAATATTGGCCGAGGACTGCGTGGATTGGCCGATCCGTCGTGTCATTTTCTAGCGTCATTATTATATTTTGAGCGACGGCGAGCTGGGATTTCCGTGCTCCGGAGCGAGAAGAAAACTCTCCTATTCGCCGTGTGTGCTGATCGAGTTGGCCTTCTCTTTCTACTAGATCCACCAACAGCCAACAGCACCGCAGTAGTCATGGTGGGGCGTATTTTCGATCCGATCTAGGAAAAACGTGCTTCATCTCTCTCTTTTGGAGTGAGAATTACACCCCTGCCCCGGAAAAGCGGTCGACGCACTCAATATACTACCAGTATAAAATAAAATAAGTACAAATGTATCTATAATAAAGTATCTACAATTTTTAACAAACTGTACCTTGAATTCTGCAGCAATGCATTGATGCAGCAGAGGGAAGACATCTAACTTGTACATCTTTTTGGACTTATTCTAATAATTACGCTTTTAGTGGCTGTCTATATAAGGATTACAATAAAGAAATTAAGACTATTAGATTGTAAAGTGTAGTAAACTAATATCATTTAGAAAATTTTAGTATTTATGGGTTGAATTAATTTAAAATTATAAAAGTTGTTACATTAAGCTTGCTTATATAAAATAGAAATGAAAATTCTTCAGCAGCCTCAAATTTTAAATTAATTCAATTTGTTTAAATTTGGATAAGTGTTAAACAAGTATTTGATATTTTTGCGTAATATTTTTGATAAATTACTAGCTATTGTAAATTATACGTGAACTTTATTTTAATTTAATAACGAAAATAAAGTTAGCCGACATTTAATAATTTTTATTGAAAAAATTTCAATTAAAAAAAAAAATGCACATGCCAAAAACTTGAAAAACTATAAGTGCATTTTTTTTAGAAATATCTTTTTAGTTGTAATTTAATTAATAATAAAAAATCAAAAATTTGTAGACGTCTGCTAACTTCAGTGTCATTTAAAATTTTGCCATTTGGCATAATAAAACCAAATCAATCAATCAATCTTCTGTAGCAAATTGTCAAATTTTGGCAACTTGAAGATTGGACCCTGGACAAAATTGAAACTGGGCAAATTTAGCTTATTTACTAACTGAAGAAATAACCTAGAGCCCTAATGTAGTATGGTGGGGATAGTCTATCGCTCGACCTTCTTTTAAAAATTCGTGCGTGTGTTTTATAGACATTGCCTAGCATAAAATATAATAAAAATAAAGTTAGCCATGTAAAAATTAAAATTTTTTTTATTGAAGAATTAAAAAAAAATTTTTTTCTTTGTAAAAAACTTTAAAAACTATAAGTGCAATTTTTTAAATAAAAAAATTTCGGCTAATTTTATTATTATTATAATATAATATAATAGTAATAGCTAGATATGTGTTATTGTGTTGCGTGCGTAACATAAGTGAAGTGAAAAAAAATATGTAAGTGCGTGTGTTGTGTATTTCCCTGCCCCCTACATCTGAAAATTAAAAGTAACGCTGTAGGTACTAATACTAATCACCCACACTAAAAAATTCTATACCATCTGTGTGCGCTGTTGATGGTTAATACATATTCTTCTTCTTTTTCTACTGCACTTTTACGAGCAATACTGGCTATCTCGCTCCTTGTGTTTCATAGATTGCCATCCCCAAAAAAATAACTCACGCGCAATGTCCCAGCCCTCTCTCTTTTAACATTTCCTCAATGTGGCATTTAAGTTTTAGACGTTATTCGCGTTAGAACTCTATTTCACTAGTATTTTTTAACCACCTAACGTCGCGAGATATTGATGGGTTCTTTTTTGTTTAAAAACACGCCGGGATTGTTTAATGTTATTTTTATCTGGAAAAACAATTTTTATTTATTAAAAAAAAAAATACAACATGATTTATTTAAATTAACAGTGAAATTGTTTACCTTTAAACTATTGTTATTTTGTATATATATATATATATATTTTTTTTTTTTTTTTTTTTTTTAATAATTGTTAAATTGAGTTAAATAAAAGCTCCAACAGTGATACTATTGTTGTTATTATAATCGACTTCCTGGTTTGTTCGCGCACTTGTTTGCTTGTTTTTAATCGCAACTGACGTCATCTTCAGTGTTTGGACCTTGAAATTTTTGGCTCGTGGAATTACGCATCGGGGACTTACGGTTGGCATTGAATTATCACGTGAGTTTAAATATATACGCTTCTGCGCAGATTATTAACGCCGAATTTTGCGGCTTTTATTTATAAAAAAAAATTATTTATAAATGTATACATGTAAAAATTAATTTAATGATAAAATATAATTTCATTAGTGTAAAAAAATAATTACCTTTAAGTTTATAAGTTGAAAATTCTTATCTTAATGACTGATGCTAATACACCAAGTAGTATTCGGGTATTGATACATTTTTTTTTCTTTTTTTTTTTTTTTTTTTCATTATGATAATAATTATAATTAATGTCATTAAGCGTATCGCTAAATAACGGCCTTGTTAAATCATTAAGTTTGTCTATAATAATAAAATTCTTTTTATTCATTATTAGATCTAATTACTTTTAGCTGTCTAATTTTTGATTATCGTTTAAAATTATTTTTTATCATACTTGAATTAAAAAAGTCACTTAAAATTTTTTTAGCAAAATTAAAAATTTTCTTTTTAACTAATTAATTTTTTTAATAAAAAAAAAATTATAAAAACGTCTAATTATAATATATTTTTAACCATCTAAATAAAGTCAGCTGATAATGATCCTAAAATTGAAAGAAAAAATTTTTTTTTAGCAAGTTTTAACAATTAAAAAAAAAAATTTTTAAAAATAAAATATTATAAAATGTCTAAAAAGATTTTTAACCATCTAGATAAAAAGATCAATTCAAATAAAAAGCACAAAAAAAATTTTTTTAGCAAATTTTATCGTTTATTTTTAAAAAAATTTTTGGAGCAAATTTTAAGTTTTATTTAAAAAAAAATGTTTTTTTTTTTTTTAATATTTATTTTTTAAATTAAATTAAAAAATTATAAAAAATCTAATTAAAATTATTTTTAACCATCTAGATTAAATCAGCTAATAATAAAATCACCTAAAATAAAAAGCACTTGAAAAAATTTTTTTTTTGCAAAATTTTAACAATTTTATTTCAAAAAAAAATTTTTTTTATAATACTTATTTTTTTAGTTAAACTAAAAAATTATAAAAAGTCTAATTAAAAATATTTTTCATGATTTAGATTAAATCAGCTAATAAGGGGATTAATTAAAATTCAAAGCACTTAAAAAAATTTTTTTTCAGCAAATTTTAACAATTTTATTTAAAAAAAAAAAAATGTATTTTTTTTAATCAAATTAAAAAATAATAAAAAGTCTAATTAAAAATATTTTTTATCTAGAAAAAAAATCATCTGATAAAAAACAATGGGATCAACAGAGCAGCATTACTGTTTACGATGGAACAACCACAAGTCAAACATGATGACAGTTTTCCAAGAGCTGTACTACGACGGAACCTTAACCGACGTAACAATCGGTCTATCAGATGGACTGCTAGTTGAATGTCACAAGCTGGTGCTAGCAGCTTGTTCTCCATACTTCAAAAAAATCCTGCAAAACATGAACCGACCTCGTGCATTAATCCTGGTGAACGTAAAGTACTACCAAATGAAAGCGCTGCTGCGATTTATGTACCACGGAGAAGTGACGATTTCTTCAGAAGAAATGCCGGAGCTGCTGCAAATAGCGAATTACCTAAAAATAAAAGGGTTGGTGGAGGGAGCAGACATACCTGACTCCTCTTTGAGATCATCATCGCCTATTGAGCAGACCCAGCACCCGCTGGAGCACTCGCAATCTGAGGAACATCACCAGCAACGTCGGTCCCGGCGTGACCGACACGCGAGTCCTTCCCCTCCGCCGATCAGCAGCAGCCACCCGAACTACCTGGCCAGCATGGACCGGAATGAAAGCGTGGATCACATGTCGCCGCCACACTCCACCAGCTCGCCTTACTACGTCCATCACAAGACCTCACCCGGGCGCAGCTACGATGAACGGTTTTCTGGAGTCCCTGCCTGGAATCTCCCCTTCGGGCCACACTTTGCTGCCTCCCTCAATGGCTCCTCCGTCTCTGCTCACCACTCCCAGCTCTTCCCTGCTCCTTATGACGACATGGCCATTTGCAAGAGCAAAATGCAGAACCTCAACATGGGCCGTGATACTCCGATCCTAAGAACTGTTCTTGGGCAAGGCAATGCTGATAGTTCTCAAGCTGCCTCGCTTCTTCATCCTGATAATCAGGAGTACAGGAGTCCTAGCAGTCGATCTGCTGGTGAGCATACGGATAACAAGCGCAATGGTAGCAGTGGGTCACAAAATATCAGTCCTTATGATCCAGCTGCTCGTGATACTGACAAAAAAACTAGTAAGAATTTTTTTTATTCCTAGATTTATGGCAGGTTGTTTATTTGGGAAAATTTGTTTACTTGGGTTTTATGAAACTGAAAATATTTTAGGATTTTATTTGGAGAAGATTGAAAGAATTTTTGGGATTTTATACTGACATTTTTTTTTTTTTTTACTGAAAATTATTTTTTTTATTAATGATTTATAAAAAATGTTTTGTTTTTTATCAAAAATTATTAATAAAAAAAATGGTTATTATTTACAAGTGGGTATTAATAATCTACCCTATTTTTGGCCATATCTAGGTGAAAAATTATAATATTAACTTCCCGCTAAAAATCTCAGATTTTCAAAAATCGGGAAGTTATTGTTTTCACCCCGTTTTACAAAAATCGAGTTTTCATCAGATCTCGACGTTTGAAGGTCACAGGAAGCTTCCCTGACTATTTTTTCATTCGAAAGGGCTTCGCCAAACTTAGATTTCCTGTGAGTTGGAACCAATTTGGACCGGTAGATTTCGAGAAAATGCAATAAAAGTGAAAAAAAAGTTATTTTTTTTTATTTTTTTCAAATATCTCCGAATTGGCTGAACCGATCGTTCTCAAAAACTAATCAGCTCTTAACCTTGAAAACCCCCATGGATCGCCACCAAAAACGTCAGAATCAGTTGATGCCTTCGTGAGATATCGTTGTCGAAAAAAATCGAAAAAAGTGTTTTTTTTTTTAATAACTTCGAAATTCATGGCTCGATCGATTTAAACTTGAAAATTTTTCATGGAGCTTTAGAAACTGCGTCGATTGCCGCCAACCACCTGAAAATCGATTCATTCATTCAAAAATTATAGCAGTTTGAAAATTAAAAAAATTGTGTCTTTAAACTGCTATTAGAGTTTTGAGCTCGAAGAGCTCAAAAACGTAGTGTGTAGTTTGAAGTGTTTAAGTACAAAATGAGCGGGAAGTTGCAGGGATGGTCTTTAGGGTGAACCGTTTTTCTAATTTTTTTTTTATTTTTTTTATTCTACTTTTTACGACGCATGTATAATAAAAAATGTGAAAGGAAAAAAATTTTCAATTGAAAAATGTTCAATGAAATTATCAAAAATTTATTTTAATTATTTAAAAAAAATGAAAGTTTGAGGTGGACCTTGAGTATGCAATTGAAGACATCTTGAGAGGCCCGCCGAACAACCAAAGTATGCATATACTTTGAAAAAGTATTGGACCAAATCAAATTCGGAACTTCAGAAGCTGAGCCAAAGAATGAGGAAGAAGAATCCAGATAGACAGTGCAATTATAAATTTCAAAAATGAAGCAAATTATTAAAGTTTTATTTATAATTATTAATTCAATGTAGCAGGGGATGGAACAGTATTAAAGTTTTTTTTTTTTGTAAAAGCTGTACTTAAGAAAATAAATAATAATAATATTTAAAAAAAATGATTTTTCTAAAAAAAACTAGTTGCTGATAAAAAAATTATTTATATTTTATAAATAAAAATACGGTAATTATTTACAAGTGATTCTACAATATTTTACTTATTTTTACGGCGCATTCATGATAAAAAATGTCGTGAAAAAAAAAAAAAATAAAGATTTAGATAGCTTTTTTGGCTTCAAAAGTTGGGAAAAAAATTTCGGCTCATATTTTTGGATAAAATTTCAATTTTATCTTTTTTTGATATATATTTTTTTGAAAAGTAAATAAAAAAACGAACAATTAAAAAAAAAAAGTTGAATATTTCCCCAATTGTAAATAATTACTAAAAAAAATGTTTTTTATTGAAAATTACTTATAAAAAATTATCATGTAATTTTTTTTTAATGTTTTAAAGTAAATTTTTTTTCATTATAATTTAGTCATAAAAATCCAAAAAATGTCTTTTAATTTCAGTATAATAATTTTTTTTTAAATAAATACAATCCCTAAAATGATTTAGTTAATTTTTTTTTTTTTAAACAGGAGTTCGTGCAAACGGTGACTCACACCGTGAATGGAAGCGCTACAAGCAGTACACAAAGGAGCACATAAATTCAGCGATCCAAGCTGTAAGAGACGGTATGAGTGCTTTGCAAGCAGCAAGAAGATTTGGCGTTCCCTCACGAACGCTCTACGACAAAGTAAAGAAAATGGGAATCGCTAATTCCCGATCGATGCGCCGCAGCGGCAACAACAACAACAACAACAGTGGAGCCAGTTTTCCATATGGAATCGGGTGCAATAAAAACGGTCGGATTTACGCGTCGCACTCTGAAAATGATTATGAAAACAACTCAGGTGTCTCCGAGACCCCAGACACAGTGATTGAACCTTCCTACGAAAAGAGCAGAGAAAATTCCGTCGACCGGGAGTCGACGATGGAGCTGTCCCGAGTGACCCCGAGTTCCAGCCCTAATCAGTCGGTCCACAGTGCTCGTCTTCCAGAAGCCGAAGAAGATCAGGACCAGGTCGAAGATCTCTCGATGAGCAGTAAAAAGTCTGATATACGTGTAATAGTATCTCCTGTCATCAAAGAAGAAAAAGTTGATCCAGATAATTTTAACAAATGATTTTAACTAGTTTTTATAAGAGAAGACTATCAACGCGGTTTATTATTAGAGAAGAAAACCTTGAAGTTATTTTATCATCATCAATACCATGATAAGACTGAGACCGCGTGCATACTTGTAATTTTAGAGACTGAGAAATATCTATCGCTGTTTTTTTTTATAGTAAAAAAAAATTTTTTTTTTTAAATTTTTTTTTGAAAAAAAAAATTCATATATTTTCTCAGGTCTAATTATATCTCGGTAGATTTTTTGTTTACGACTGAGCTTTAATATTTTACGTGGATAAAATAATTAAACAAGATATATATATATATATTAGGGTGATTCATTTCCACAAAATTTTTTTTTTTTTTTCGGTGCTCATGAAAAATATTAATCTACATATAGAAAAAAAAATTCCTACCAAGTTTGAGCTCTTAATATTAATTTTAAGTACTTACAATAAAAATTTAAAGTTTTACCATTTAAAATGCATGTAAAAAAATTTTTTTTTTTTCAAATTTCTAATGCTTAGCCGGCTTTTACAATATTGCAAATCGGTTTGATGGACCTTGTGGGGAATTTCACGCTCTTCAAAAAAGCCTTAAAGTTTTTTTGTGTCCATCCAACCAATATTTAATAAATTTACAGCCATTTTTATAGCGGGAAACGTAAGAAATTGATAAATACTAACTCATAATGTTATTTAGATTCATTTTTTCTATTTATTGCCATTATATTTCCCTACACTAAGAACTTTTTTAAAATTAGTATGATTTTTTACTCATAATGAATACAAAAACAACACATGAATTCATAAAAAAGCAACAAAAATTTAATGAAAATGTACAGAAGGTTACATTCTTATGTAAAATGCTTCAAATGTGATAAACATCTAAATAGTCATGAAAAACAAGTTAATTAATTTCAAATAATTACTAGTGTTATTGAAAACACATCAAAATTTTGAAGCTGAATATAGCTTTTTGGGGCACGTTGGAAAGTCTTTTCTACATTGTTGAACCGTTAATAATAAATATTGTTTCTGATCTTCATCATATGTACCAAATTCGTTAAATTTTTCAATGATTGCAACACATCGTTCGGCAGTATCATTAACAACACGTAGTTTTTTGAAAGTTTCGCAGCAAGTAATGTATTCTTGATCTGTTTCCCACAAATCAGGGTCGATGTCTAAAAATCCACACGTCAATATATCTCGTGAAAAAATATTCTGATCAGACTTAACATAAACATTGGAAATATCAGACTTTATCAGGGTTGATATGGCCATGTCAAGATGTTGACAAACCTGAAGCCTAAATAAAATTGATGAATAAATTTACATTTATAATAAAGTTGATACAACATTTATTTTAGTTGTCTTTACAACTTTCTTCAAAAACAGATAAACTCATTAATAGAGTACCAAAATTCTACTCTTTTCGGAACTTAACACTTCAAAGTCAAGTATCTAGAAAGGAACAGTTCTGCGGCCATGCGCCATCTATCGAAGACTTTTAATACTAGTTTCGACAGTGCGAAACATGTGATTGTTCCATGGTGATGTCTTTTATTTGTAACTAATTAAAATGTTGTCAGATTTATAAATATTTCATTGATTATTTTAATATTTCCAAAGTTCTCAAATAATTTCAATACTCCATGAATGAATAACTGAAAATTACGTTTCATGATAAATTGATAAATCATACACATAAGATTTTTTCATTTGGCATAAAATTGCATGAAAAAGAATAATAAAATCAATTTCATATTGTATTTAAAAAATAAAAAAAAAATTTACTTTTTGTAAATTTTAAACCGGATAAAACACGGTAACCGATTGGTTCTACAACAGTAATTTTTTTTTTAAGTTTTTTAAAAATGTAGAGTAATTTGAAAAATATGTAAAATTTATTTATTTTCATTTAATTAATAAAAAAACTAATTTTTTATAATAAAAAATAATATTTATAAATATTAAATAAATAAATATAAAAATAATATTTATAATAAAAATTAATAAAAAATTCTAAAATATTAATTTCTCAATTAAAAAAAAAATTTGTGAAAGAATTGAAAAGTAAATAATTGAAAAGTTCTAAAGCAACTTTGAAGATTTTTTTTTAAATTCACACATTTTACCTTTTTATAATTTATAC